CGTAGTAATTGGCGTTCCTTAGTCTCTGCCTACCCCCATGGGAGACAGGCGTGAAGTTATGTATGAATGTATGTAACTTCCCATAATTTTAAACATCCATCTAATGGTTAGAATAAAAAAAAATCTTATCAAATAAAGCCATTTATTTATCCGGGGAGCATGAGATAGTTGCGATATCTCTGAATCGGGTGTCGTCGAAGATCGTGATACATTGATGGGCTACCCTCATCACTGTTGAGAAACAGCTGAGCTGACAGCCGGCTATTATCTGCAGTAGTTTGATAACAAGCACTCGATCGATCGCCAGTCCTTCGATTAGCCTAGCCAAGTTTTATTTTTTCTGTACCTACTTGTGTAATTAATTATTATAGGAAGTCCAACCAATGTCAACACGTAGAAAATAAACTTCATTAGATAGCCAGGTACTATTAGTACTAGCTATTTATTCATTCAACCTTCAAGAAAAGAGCATACTCCTTTTTAAAACGCACCTGTGACTCTTCTGATGTTGCGGGTGTCCATGGGCGGTGCTGATCGCTTATCATCAGGTGATCCGTCTGCTCGTTTGCCTCCTATTCCATAAAAAAATGTTGTCTGGGTATTTTAATTTGTATCTGTACCCAAACTAGTTTTAAAAATAAATTGACTAAAATCGATTTTAAAACTTTTCAGTGCAGTTAAGTTTTTGTTTGTCTGGTTCTCTAATAAACATGATCTTCAACTTTTTATACTAATAATAGCGAATAAAAATAACGGTAATTTACAAAAAATATTACCCACAATACCCATATCAATCAAAAGCTACTAATCAAGTAATTACACAAGCATTTTAGGAACAAAAAACAGTCTTTGTCAGTCTTTATTCATCCCATATTGACCTATACAGAATTTTGAGTGCCTATATTACTACACGTGCACATATAATCAAAGCAAAATAAGACTTATTGATTAGTAAATAAGTATTATTTTGTAAGATTGACGCTGACGAACTGACGAATGTAATTTTCGTTTTATCACGGATCAATATTATCTATAATCTCAATCAAAGAATCAAGGACTATCTAGCTATTCCTAGGTAAGAATGCCATCAAAATCGGACTTGGATTAGATCGTTATACGCCGTCCAGTCACCTGTGTGTGCTTCCTTGACATCAAAACGTGTGTCGCCTTTCAAAAAGCCTTTAATGAACTCTAATCTTACTAACATGTGTGTTTGATGGATTCTAGAATACTCCTAAACGTAGATAAGAACTTGATCGACGGATTGTGAACTTTGAACAATTGATGTTTATGTTAAATTTGTCTTATAATGATTAAAGCAATTTTCTTGTGTCCAAATTTCGAATTTCTCAGTAAGTAGGTGTTATGATTGAATCCAGGATCTTAAAAACACAACATCAAAGTGGTTACTATTCACTTATTCACTTTTCTCTATAACAGTATACATATATCCATTCTATATGATTCAGATTTTTAGTGTCAATTTGATATAGGTTTAAAATCTAATGGAATGTCATCACTGGTAATATGGTTTGCATAAATTACATTTTTTTTCAATAACACTGTAGCACGTAGTGGTCGTTAGAAGTAATTAGATTAGAAAACAGAGAAAGTTATGAATTTAACACACAAAGACTTTTCACTTCTATAGTATAAGTAGTTTAACTTATGTCGGACTCTGTCCTTCTAACTATACGTAGATATACAATTTCAATAAGAATGGTTAAGTATGAACTCTTTCAAGGTTATATTGTCTTTTTTTATATCACGACGGTGGCAAAAAAAGCGCACGGCCCACCTGATAGTAAGTTGTTACAGTGGCATAAGATGCAACACTTCTTATGCCACTGTAACAACTTACTATCTTTATAAACCTATTTAATTATTTTGAGTTTCTCTTTTTAAAAAAAAACGTTGTCTCACACTAGGATTTTCTCCTGTGTCGTAGGTGCGTTTACCAACATACAAGTTAACGTACACATAACACCCAGACCCGGAACAACAATCTGTGGATCACACAAAGAGTTGTTCCGAGCGGGAATCAAACCAGTGACACGTTGCGCGGCAGTCAGTGGCTCAACAACCGCACCAACCGTTCAGTCTTTCTTGAAGAACCCCATATTGTAGCTCACCGGGAAAACCTTGTCTTCTACGAACTGTATCACAAGTTAAATACTCTGAAAGATAAGAAAACAACAGTCAAAGTAGACAACAGTGTTCTCATCTCACAGTTCACCTAGAATCGAATTTAGAGATACTCGCGATTAAGCACTCACAAAGAATCATGGTTACTACAAAAAAAAACTTGAAAGCAATTGGCAACGAAATACAATCGGTCTTAAATATTATCAGTCTATCTTCTATTCCAGAAACTACTGCCATG